CAGTCACAAGAACGTCGAATCTGAATCACTTGAAAAAAACACGGGGGTGCTTAACTTTTTTCCAGGTGTATATAAAACACAGGTGTATCTATCTGCCTGTCTCTCGGTCACGCGTTGATGTCATAGCAGCTTGTTACGTTATTTAAGTAGTTTGGCTTCCTGTCAGTTAGAAGTGAGTAGTCTACGATTGATCGAAAATTAAAGATATATTTGGACTAAAATGTACAAAAATTGCACCTTTTTCGCAATTTGAAAACGTATCTTTGTTAAATCGTCGAGTTACGCCAGAAAGGACGTAAATATACTTTAGTAGACATTCTATACAACATATTAAAAGCTTATCAAAGTTTTTAAAAACGTCTAACATTAGGTTGTAGAATATCAGAAGATTGTTTATTGATAGTATTAAGTGCAGTAAGGTTTAGCCCTAACTGAACTAAAGCAAAAACCGTACACAAGTTATAGTGTGGATTTATCTCTTTATCAAATATAGGCCGTATTTAATAAAGGCTTAACTAATGTCTGCGATTAGAATTATTTTGTATCACTCTAGAAATCCTGTATTTAAAGAAGTTCTGTTCCAATAAAGATACTAATTTGGCCGTAAATGTTTTGCGGGTCTCTGCTAGTCTACTATAAATCAGAATACAAGCCTGTTTTAGTCTCCTCGGTCGATTTGAAGAATTTAAAACTTAGTAGTAGGAGACATGTTGATCATAACCAACCAGAAGTCCTAAGATATGAATAGTTCACTCGAACAGTTGCGTGCAACAAGGACTTTGGATATTAAACGACGAAGATTAGCAAGTTTCCCTTTACTAGTTCATTTTAGTACAATATATTGAAGAAAGTCGTATAATCGTCGTCCGAACATCTGGTTACTAATCTAAACTTTGTTGATCATTACTAATTTCATTAAGTGGCGTACATTGACAAGGTGCTAACTGTCTATAAGTATTTAACTAATGTTAAAGTACCATTCAGTAACTTAACATACTACAGTCTTGTTTGGTAACTGTACTCAAAATGTGTTATTGTAAGCGGAAAGATTTAGTGTGACGTAAATTTCGAAGCCTTTCGAACAAAAATGTCATATGCTAGTTATATAATTTTTGTGGTATCGTTAGTTTTATTAGGCATTCTAACTATATGTAACTAAAACAGCCACTTTCTTGGAATATATCTATGTATTTTAAATGTACTTAACAAAGACAACTTTACTGAAGTTGTACTGTATGAGATCTCTATGAGTAATTCTGTATAATTAGTTTGTACGTAAAAAACAAACATGAAATTATCGAGTGTGATTGATATAGCTTATCCAATCCTGGCGATACAAATCTTTAATATTTCATTTTCTACTATATTGACTGATCAGAACTTACTATATCTTGATTCCTTTATTTTCCCGAAAGGAGGCTGGAGGGATCACCTGTTTTAACTACTCGCACCACTATATAGTAGTGTGTTGTTTGTCAGTCAGTACACTAAAATGACGCCACATAAGGGACGATTAACGTTACAATTTGTACTGTTGTGACGTCAGTAAAACGTGCGCATGCTTTAAATCACAAGAAGAACTATGCACTCTGTAATCTACAACACAGCATGACATGAGAACTTCAAAAGCAAGAAATAAATTTGTTACTCTTAATTTTGGTTTTATTTACTCTTGAAACAGATTATTATTAACTGATTCGTCAAGAGGAAAATTTTCTGAGTTCAGTGTTGTGACGATTACATGAAAATTTAGTAATCTTGAAGTATAGCTTACAAAACCAAAATGAATATATATATTTGTTTCGCCAAGCTATACAAGAGCATGGCGCATTTTCTTCATCAACGTTGTGCGAATCGGGATCCTCGTATTTCCAGTTCGACATGCCCGGCCCTTCAATAAATATGGTAGAACTGTCAACTAACAGCATACAACGTGTGTGTGTGTGTAAATCAATTGTTGAAACCCTTATATACAGAACAACCTTCGAAACTACTTAAGAATGTCGACGAATATATGTTAATTGTAGATGTCTATTTGTACCTAGGCCCAAATTTAAAGAATTATTTAGCTTTGAAGGGCCACGAGACTATCCTATTTCAATTTAGATAAATTACATTTTACATATTTTATTCTACTTTTTCAAATTCCTAATTTTTTAGCAGAAATTAAAATCGATGTTTAGTTTCATTAAAGCCAGTATATGTTCAACAATGATTAAACATCCAATCCAAAGTCGATATTTGTTGTGTTTAATATCTTCATGCAAGTGTCCTACTCATTATATATACTTTTTCTTTCTTTTAATTGAAAAATAGAACAGCTACAGTCTTAAAAAAAAACTATGGGAGGTTAAGTGAAAAATTTTGATAACTATTTAACGTTATTTTCAGTTTGTAATTTCGAGTGTTACGAACATATTAGTTGTCTTGTTTGACGAAAGGCATCTAAATTACTGCTACAACTAAAAGTTATCTCCTGTAAATTAGCATTACATATAGTCCGAAGAAACGTTCATGACTAGCGTTGAAACAGTGTAATTTTAGAAACTTCTAGAATAATGTAATAAAATTCCCAGTAAACTATGTAGTAACTTCCAACTTAAAATCTTCAATACAAAATTACAGTTAATAATAATTAGTTTTAATTATGAGTTACAGTCACAAAGTATCTCTATGAGTACACCGTCTTAAGTCATCAGTTGGGTTATCCTCATTGTCAGCAGCGTTTTCGGCCTTCGTCCCAGGAATACCTGACAAAGTTAGGCCCGCTTAGCGAATTACTAAGCACCAAAGCAGAATTGTCACACGTGCATCTTCATATACCATATTACTATTTAAGACATTTAATGTGATATATTAAACCTATCTAATACTATAACTAAAATACATATTGATTTAATTAAATTACATAAACACATATAATCTTACGCCTTGTTTACTATGTAGCAAGTTCTGGCTAGAAGTCAACAGAATGATAGTAAAGCCCGTATGTATATGACCTCTCATGCTACTGGACAAGTTCTGCAGTACCGTGTTTAAGGTGACCTTGTTAAAGTGATTCCGCCTAATGCTTAAGCTTAAAAGTGGGCTTATTGGAGAACAAACCAAAGGTGACCAGGTTTTAAAATCGGAAATATAAGTTAAGAAAAGTTAAATACAACAGATATAGTTTGAAATTTTTTTGATGTGATGGAATATGTAAGGTTAGGATCAAGAAAGTCACTTATATCCTATAGCGACTATGCTAATTTTATGGTTTATACCGAGCCAACAGCCTCAATTTGGTCAACGATTGATTTGGTAAACGATTCGGGTCTTAAATCTTTTTTTGTTTTTGTTTTAATTCATCCTATTGATAAGTAGCACCGACAATTTGGAGTAAGCAATTCCGCCCAACGCCCATACTTAAAAGTGGCTTTATTAAGAGAACCAATTAAAGTTGACAAGATCATCCAAATTACAGATATTAAAAAATAACTTTTATTTACCCATTTGGCACAAAAAAAAACATACAAAGTTTCAAATATGCAAAACCGACTGACCAATATATTTACACAAGTTTTCTTTTCAGATTATATAATCTCTATATTCAATTCAGGGGACACGAACTACAGATCTGGTCCCAGTTACATTGACAAACGGGATCTTCCTGTTTTCATATAATACAAGATGGGCATATTAAATTGAATATGCTATAAAAATTCACAACTAGAATGGTCAATTTTGACTTTAAAAAATTCTGTAATAATAGAAAATAAACTGTTTTTAAAACCTTTGTTATAAATAAATTACTTATTTGTTACCATTTCCTAAAAGTATAACAGCTCAGATAAACAAAGTCCACACATAAGCTTAAGAAGTAATTAAATGATTTTTTTACTGTCTCACAAAATTAGGCAGATGTTACACCTATAAAATAAAATAAAATGTTATATCTTTTTTTTGATGTAGAACCTGTTAGCATTATTACTTGAACAATGCCAGCCTCAGATATTTCAAGACTACAGAAATGTCTGGGACTGTACCAAACTTTCTGTCGACTAAATTAAATATTCAAGGCTTAAAAATTCAGTTTTAGAAGTAACATATTATGAAACTGTGATCATATGAAGTATAATCAGAGAACTGTTTTCAAAAAACCCTTACTTTACAAAACAGAGGTTGAGGAACACAACTTCTGAACGTTTGGAAGAATCTTCTTGTCAATAGATTGTAATGGTTTAAAAATGATTTTAGACTAGAATTGTTTTAAGTCTTAAAATGTTAACTGGGTGCAAAGTACTTTACAAGGTTTTAGTCCTATATTACCAAAACTGACTTGTCTGTTAAGGTTTTAGTCCTATATTATCAAAGCCGAGTTGTCTGTTAAGGTTTTAGTCCTATATCATCAAAGCCGAGTTGTCTGTTAAGGTTTTAGTCCTATATCATCAAAGCCGAGTTGTCTGTTAAGGTTTTAGTCCTATATCATCGAAGCCGAGTTGTCTGTTAAGGTTTTAGTCCTATATCATCGAAGCCGAGTTGTCTGTTAAGGTTTTAGTCCTATGTTATCAAAGCTGAGTTGTCTGTTAAGGTTTTAGTCCTATATTATCAAAGCTGAGTTGTCTGTTAAGGTTTTAGTCCTATATTATCAAAGCTGAGTTGTCTATTAAGGTTTTTAGTCCTATATTATCAAAGCTGAGTTGTCTGTTAAGGTATTAGTCCTATATTATCAAAGCTGAGTTGTCTGTTAAGGTATTAGTCCTATATTATCAAAGCTGAGTTGTTTGTTAAGGTTTTAGTCCTATATTATCAAAGCCAAGTTGTCTGTTAAGGTATTAGTCCTATATTATCAAAACTGAGTTGTTTGTTAAGGTATTAGTCCTATATTATCAAAACTGAGTTGTCTGTTAAGGTATTAGTCCTATATTATCAAAGCTGAGTTGTTTGTTAAGGTATTAGTCCTATATTATCAAAGCTGAGTTGTTTGTTAAAGTTTTAGTCCTATATTATCAAAGCTGAGTTGTTTCTTTTTGTGTTTTTTTGTATTACCATAATGAGATGAAAATTTCTACTCAACATCAAGTTACAGGCAAATAAGTAATATTTCTTAACTAGGTTTTTCCAGAAGCATGATAAAAACAATATTCATAAGTTACATTTTATAAATGGAAATACTTGTTTACAAAAAAAAAAAGAAACAAAAAACAATCATATTGTAAAATTACTATACAGCAACAAATCTAAATTGTTCACCATTCATTAATTTAAAACCCCTTTCAATTAGAAAACAAAGAGAAATTATAAATCATAAATGTAAATTCATGTACATGTTTAATTTCTAGTTTTCCAAGTTCTACAACAAAGAACAAACAATATTAATCCAAAGATAATTTATAATGTTTTTCAGGAAATAAATTACACACACACACATTTTTCAAATATTATACAAACATATTAGAAACCTTTTCTTATAGCTGTAAAATGTCTTTTATAATTGACTTAAATACTTTCTGATACAATTTTATCACTGTGAAAGCTGACCTGCCTTTTAACTAATCACAGGAAAAAGAATTCCTAGGCACGTTCAAGGTTGAAAAATCTAAGAATATAATTGCAAATACAAGTGCTAAGTTATGAATGATAAGGGGATTAGAAGCATCTATATATATAGGTGAGAGGACTAAAATAATGGGTGAACTGGGTTAAGAAAAAACTAATGTAGGAAATACATAATTGAACACTTACTACTAGGTTAATTTTTATATCAAAAGTTGGAACCAACATCTTGTTTTACAAACAAATGTTGAAAGCCACCATGATTTAGAATGTTCTGTTTCCATAAACAGTGAGAGTAATATATATATTTTTTTATAAACAGAAACACAAATAGGACCAATGATTATAAACAGAAAAAAGAATACTTTAAATTCATTATAGATTACACTACATAAATATGCTGCATACAATTCTAAACTAGCAAGAAGCTTAGCTGTATTAATCAGCTGGGTACTAACCTTTTTTTTTTGAATCCCAGATAAATGACTATTGATTTTCAAATGAATCAAAAAATAAAAAGTAAGTAATAGATGACTAGGTAAGTACTAAAGAAAAACGCCTCAACCTGTAACAAATAAAGATGGTTTTACAGATAACAAATATTACATGCATGTTACAGTACATTTCATCTATTAGAACACTGAAAAATAGAATCTATGACATAGAGGCTCAATGCATTGTTTGACTGACCTGGCCTTTTCCAGGCTCAAACCCCATAGATACAACATGTTATTGTAAACTGTAGTTAAGATCAAGATTTGGAAATAAGACATGAATTGAACTCTCAGAACCTGTTCTAATCTAGTGTTCTAACACAGATGTTCTATACAGTACTCTAACTATTTACTCAAATTCCTGAGAGCACACAGCTAACCAGACTAAAAATTACTTTACAATTTGCAATGAATATTCTATTATAAATTTACAAAAAAAAAATCTGATCAGAATTTACTTTCACATTTTTATAACTTCCATTTGTCAAAGAATTTTTCTGACTTGCAATTGAACACTGGAAAGTTTAATGACTTACTGCTATTACTGTAATACAATAGTAGTTTTAAGTAATAAGCTTGTTATATCTTAGTTGCAAGAACTATAGTATAATTAACTTGACCAGTAGTAATCACTAGTTTTAAAGATTCCTTGACGAATTCTGTATGTCCTCCACAGAAGACCAGCCTATGGATTAAAACCAAACAAACATATTTTCTACAGAAAACCCTGAAGATCATTTTTAAAAAGATCTTTAAATTTAGTTGTCCGGAAGCACACAGAAGTACCTGCACGAAGGTAAAAAGTACAATAACACCTTTTCCTTCTATTATTATACCTATTATGAATTACAGTTTATTATAAATGCATGTTCATATTACCTTAAACACAACCGTTTTCCTACAGGTTCAAACATTTTTTTGATACCTATCACATAATTTAGTCATTTCATAGCAGTAAACATAAGGTGTAGAAACAATGTGACTAACCCTTAATCCAGCACAACCTTTCATACATTAACTGTGTTTTTCTATTATATTCCCATGCATACAACTTTTATTTAAAATAAATTTTCAAATTTTGTGTACAAAACAAAATTTAAATACTCAACAATATGTGAAATCTTTACAGTAAAAAAATCTTTCTGTTTTTGGTTCAAGTACAATTATTGTGTATGTTCAGATATTAAACATTGTAGAAATATACAGACAATTCTTGTTTGAACACTTTTCCTGTTTTCAATTGATATGGTAGGAGAATGAAATTAAGTGAGACTTAAATATTGTATCAATACCTGCTATCTTGATTCTTCTCTATACATAAAATAACTCTTACAGAGGAAAGACTCTTTCATAAAACTAACTTTCTTCGATGTTATATATATATATATTACTGATTTTATTATTTACATCTGAGTCACACTACAGCACCAATAGAAATGTGTAGGAACAATTCAAAGCTCGGATGTGACACGATTTTTGTCATCATGATATGTTTCAGTATCAATGAGGTTTCCTGGGAGTGCTGTATTTTGATGTTTTGTTTTAGGTTTTACAACTTTACTTCCAGAGGCACTGCCCTTATTATTTCCAGTGCGAGTTTTTTGTAGCCTTGCACGTACAATTTGTAGATGGCGCTGAACATATTCTTCTTTTGGAGCCAGACTGGCAACTTCCTGGAGACAGTGTTCACCCAAAGCAAGTTGCCCACGCTCCACATATACCACACACAAGTTGTGTTTAGCCTGGACATTGTTGGGATCCATCTGAAGAATCTTGATGTAACACTAGTAATATATTGAAATATTAAGTTCAAATTAAACAGCTGGCAAAATACTAAAATTGAGGAAAAGAAATTATTTACATTGATTGGTTGACAGAACATTTTTCCAAGTATGTAAAACAAATGTAAAGATTAACCTACATAAACCAAATTCAGGAAAACAAAATCACATCCCCAAACAAGTAGTTTTTTTTTCTTTAACCTTTTTTTCTGAAGAATACTATACAAGATTCACTATTGTTCAACAAATAATTCTTTTATAATTTTTTTTAGGGAAAAAATTGCATTATACACACAAGGTTTTGTGATTAAGGGTACTTAAAATATATCCACGTTTTAATAGGTTGGTTACACTCTAAAGACAATTAAAAAAAAGCATGTGACTAACATGTCAGTAATATATTTGTCTGTCTTATCCATTTCGGAGTGATACGATATGCAGACCAAAGTGGTACAATACAACTTATCCCTTACATGCACTCAAGGTCACTAAAATGCAAGTGTTAAAAGTTCAGAGTGTCCCTTCTGCAAATAGAAGGGCCAAAAAGTTGTGCCAATAACATGAAACTGTCTTGAAATATCCGATTTTGATAAAATAGTTACCACAAAGAATCACATATAAAGTGTATTAGACTTAAAAATAAGACCCAAAACTCGAGCGCTTTCAAATAGTTGACTATTCTGCTTCAGGAGAACAAAGGGTCCCTTTGTTCTCCTGAAGCAGAATAGTCAACTATTT